CTTTCCCTCTGAGACACACACACCCACCCCCCACCACTCCCTCCCTCCCCAGTTTAAGATCAAAATTAAGTTTTGAAATTATACTAGTCTTGTGAAAGGAATGTCTGTCTTATTATCGTTTCATCACTTTCAGGACTTACCATCTTTTCTTACTGCAGCCACTTCTGCACATGGAAACTGTAAACAAAGGGTCAGGTTTTTTCTGCCTTAAGCCGTGTGCAGTGGTGGTGAGGTTTTTTCCAATATGCAAAAAGAAAAAAATAGTGTCAACCTTCACACAGAATTACCTGTCGCTACATTTGGGCTGCTGTTAATAGGTATGCTTCAATTCAAAGATCCAAATATTTTAGGCCAGTTATACTTGTACTGCCTGGAGAGTTGAGTGTGAGTCCCATTTCCCACATTGGGCCTGTGGTTCTTGCCTGAAAGGTGTGTTTTCTCTCTTCAACTGCAAACTGATGTAATAATATAAATGTGTATACATATACATTCTGTATACATTATATATACAATATAAATAATTTAAATCCTGTGCTGACAGTTGCTGTTACGAGAATGACAGGGAAAAATGTGTAGAAGTTGCTGCTCTTCTGCATGTTCCCTCAGTGAGTAAATGCAGACCGTTAGAGTGATGCTCCATGTAATCTTAGCAGTTGGGCATATTGGTGCAACCATTTTTGAGCATATATCTGATCAGAAAAGTGGGAAGTATTAGTAGGCTGCAATACAAGAAAAGTATTCCATGCATAAGGACTTACAAAATTGTTTCAAGCAAAAAAATTTTAATTTTCCATTAGCTACTTCTAATGATTGTCAAATTTGTATTGTTAACATAAGGTGTTGGATTTTGCTCATGTTTCATAAGCAAGAAACATGACCCTGTATATGAAAGAAAAGAAGTTCACTGTTAATTCCAAATTATTTTCATATCCCTATTAATTTTACTGGTAGCTCTGACACGTTTGCATATGCGCACATATTCTACTGAATGATCTTTATATAGGAGGTAAACACTACTACCGTGAAACATTTAAAATAGCCCAAATAATCTCTCTATATTTTTTTTCACCTGTAGGCAATTTTGGAATCTGTATTCTTAACAGAATGAACTGTAGTTAATTTTAACTGACCCATATAATAGAAACTTACCATTCAAGTAATATAAAAGTTGAATCACTATCCACCCATATTAATAACTTTTATACAATATAACCTCTTGCCCTTAAGCCAATAAATCCTGGCAGTAAGGCTGAAAAATTTTAAATATGCAAAATGCTGGACAGTTTTGGATAAAAGTTCTGCTTTTATTTTCCACTTTATGAACGTGCTTTGAAAGCCTTTTCTATTTAGAACATAAATATTAATGCTGTTTTCATTGGATTTTGGCATCTCACAGATGGGAAAATGAAGTTTTCAGTAGCTGAATAATAAGTTAACTGAGGAACAGAATTCTTGAATCAGATGGCTGATTTCTTACAACTGTTTAGAAATGCTTTTATTAACCTGTCAGCCTATATTTGCAGTAGAGCTTGGGAGAACAGGAATAGCAGCATTCTTCTTTTGGACCAGAACATTTCTTTTTCATTTTACTGAAGGTGACCATTCTACTCAATGCAATTTTGCCTTAATTAATCATAGCTGGCATTTAGTTAAGACGTGTTGAAGGATACAGGAGCATTGTAGCTTCCATAGCAATGCAGGAATATTCTACCTACTTTTAGCAGAGCACAGTTAAATCATAAAAACAGTTATTTTTTTAAAGGGATGTTTTTTCCCTGCTGGAGTTAGAAAGCCCATCTAGGTTTGTTCTAGGTGTAGAAATTGGCTGGACTAAAGCAAACACTGAAGTGTCATTGGATTACACAGACTGTTGGGAAAGGCCCATCTGTAAAATTCACTTAGGAAGTAACCAGAACTTGGCCATCAGTGTCATGCTTGGTGGCATGCAAACGAGGAAAAGTTATGAAAATACTGGGACAGGAAAATGGCTAACGAGCAGATTTTCATTGCTAGCTTAATTTCCAACCAGGCTTATCAGGATTCTATTTATAGACAAACGCTCATTTGTCCGTGTGCTTCTGAGCCTCCTTGGCTGTGAGAAGGAAGATGGCAATTCCATTTACAGCTCCCCTTAAAAAAATCAGCTAACTTCTCTTTTATTAGCAGTTCCTGAAGGTTTCAGAAAGTGTATCAACAGAATATTCTCTTACCCCAGTTCCTGAGGTAGGCCTTTTCAAGTGTTGTTCAAATGGCTATAGGAGAGCCTGCGTCTTGACGTTCCAACATAGGAAGTGGTGACTTAGGTGCCGCTCTGTGAAAACTGAGTAGCATGTGGAATTATTTATCCTTTTTTTAATGCTACATGAAATATCCCACTGGAACTATTTAAGTATGGATTGTATTTCAGGCTGGTTTTTTACTTAGAGCCTCTTAGCATCACTACAGAGTTTTTCTGCTCACCTCTCACATGCTAATCATCAGTGCAAAAGGTGGAAAAGAGATGTGGGCTGCCCAGTCCTGGAAGCTGGACATTATTCAGACTATTCTGAAACTGAATAAACAGGATACCTTCTTGCTGTTGCGGGAAGATGCTGAAGATTTCCTCACCCAAGCCTTCCAGTTAGAACGATGTCCTCTTTACGAAGGGAAAGAAAAATACAGTGTCAGCGTCTGATGCTTCAGCAATTGCAGTGTAGAGCACAGTATTTGCCATTCTTTAAGCTATTAAAACTGAAGCAAAGTTCACTTGACACAGTAATGGTTACATCCCACAGGATTTTACAGGTGAAAATAGAGTGATAACAAACCAAGCCAAGCAAAAGGCAATTATATCAGTTATCAAAATTACACTGCCGATTATGTTTTACGAAAGTTTAGCATGAAGGGGGAAGTGTTTACATATACTCTTAGTGGTAAAAAATAATAATTTTTTATTTAGATCAGCCATGCCCAGCATTAGCTATTTTTAAAGAAGTCAGCAAATGCAATTATGCAAATAGCTGTTGACTATGGCTGGGCGGAAGGGGATGCTTCCTTCCCTCCTTGCAGCATTTT